TTTTTTTTTTTAATTATTATTATTATTTGCTAGCATGGGTTCTTGATTTTTGCTTTTAGCTATGATATCTGATTTTGTAGTATATTTGCTGGTAGGTGTTGAAATATTTGCCTTAGAATAAGATTCAGTTTTATTGAAAACATTGGATAAAGTCGTAGTTTTGGAGGCACAGAAATGGAATAGATAGTCTCAGGACTTCAGTTTACCTAAAAGTTGTAAAAATAGGGAAAAAGTTTGTAAATTTTGGAGACGACAAACCTACTATGTGTATGTAGTGCAGCTCATATACTAAGTGATTCAGCCGAATTCGAGAAAATATATCATGAACTTGTTGATGCATTGAGTTCAAGCATGAATTTCTAATTGTTAGTAATATTTCCAGATTTTGTTTGTGAGAACTACTCTGTAACATTTGATAGTGAAATAAAATAAGCTCTGTTGACTTTGAATAGACCTTGACTTGCTTTAGTATCCATATTCATTTTATGCTATGAGGCCATAGATGTGGCTCGATGATCCTCAAAACCGAGTCTTTCCCCTTTCTTTTTTATTTTTTTCGATTGGTGTTAGGCCTAAAACCAGAATGATTTACAGTGGAACATGTAAAAAATAATAAGTGTTGCATCTTATAACTTCCATCAAATTGCCGGGGAAAAAAAATCTGTATATCTTCATGGAAATCATGGAAGCTTCATATTTATCTTAAGATATGTGTGTGCAAAGTAGGACATCTCATTTTTTAGTTGAGACATCTGTTTCACTGCTTCTAAAGGTCCTTTTCATTCAATCCTTTTAAATGATTTTGGAAAATTGTGAAATGAAGGATGTTTTAAGCTGATATTACAGAATGTTCTATTTAGCTCCTATACATTTTGTTTTTCGTAAGCCAATCTCCTCATTCCTGCATGATACAGACATGGCCAAAAAAAAAAAAAAAAAATGGAATCCCATTTAGAGAACCAATATCACTTACGGAAATGTTTTTCCTGTTTTCACTTTTGAGACAGTACTTCAAAGATAGACTACATAACTTAATCCGAAACTGCAGGTGGTTTGATTAATGTATTGTTCTGAAAACCGTTATTAGAGTTAATATCAAACTATTATACAGAAGTTCAACATTTTATCATACAACAAAATGTACTAAAATTGTACTAGGAAGCATTATTTCAATGCGACAACTTGATGTGATGTCTGATGTGTTGCAACAACTTTCTATGACATGAAAATATTGAGCTTCTCTCATTAATGCTCATGTATGCAGGTTTTGTGAGTATCAATTGTGGCGGTAGAGATAATTTTACTGACGAGCTAGGCCTCGAATGGAGTCACGACACTTACATGTTAAACGGACAAGTGGCCAACATATCTGTAGCCAACGAGACCAGAAAACAGTACCAAACACTAAGATATTTTCCAGCAGATGACTATAAGTATTGCTACACGCTAAATGTTGTTAGTCGGACGAGGTATCTTGTAAGGGCTACTTTCTTGTATGGGGACTTTGATAACAACAATGTGTATCCCAAGTTCGATATCTCGCTTGGACCCACACATTGGGCCACAATAGTGATTTCAGATGCTAACACAATAGAGAGTGAGGAGTTGATTTTTCTTGCTTCGGATCCTACCATAAGCGTTTGTTTGTCCAATGCTACAACTGGAGTGCCTTTTATATCGACTCTCGAGCTCAGGCAGTTCAATGGGTCGATTTATTTCAATCAATTTGAGAACCAGTACTTCCTTAGTGTGTCAGCAAGGATAAACTTTGGGGCAGAGAGTGATGCATCTGTCAGGTATGTTTGGAAATTTAAAATTTTGACTTCATTTTTTTCAGAATATTGTTTGGGAAGAAACAGGAGGATGAAAAGTAGATCTTAATGTTGCAAATGGCATTTATTATTATTATTATTATTATTTTTTTTTTGCATTCGACATAGTTAAGTCGAAATCTAGAAGCAGGAGAAGGGATGTTTTTACGGCGTAGTTTATTTATTTATTTATTTATTTTTGATTGCTTACCTTTGGGGAAAGGAAGAAGGATGACTTTTTGGGGGTGTACTTAGATATGGGATGAAAATACAACGACTGAAGTTTATGAAGAACCTGGAAATAGTTCAATAGTGATCGGGGTACGATTGTTAGTTCGAAATGCATGAACAAATAGTGAAACATGTGGCGATGATTTTTGCTTTCCAAACAGTGTGTAGATGGCATTTATAAGAGAAATAATGAGGTTAAATTGAAAAAAAGAAAAAAGTGGGCATTCACATGTTCATGGGCAGAAGAGTTTATCTGGTGCGGTGAAAAAAATATCGATCTCCAATCGTAGCTTACCTGAGATTTCTGATTCTATTTTCGGTTTGACTTCGCTTATTTACCGAGCACTCTCGCCCAATAAGTTCAATGTTTAGCTTCTGCATGCAAATGCTTCTGACTTCTAATCAACTACTTGTAATTTATGCAATATTGGATATATATTGTTCAAAATGAGAAAAAGGCAGTATTTTGCAGGTACCCAGATGACCCGTTTGATAGAATATGGCTATCCGACTCGATAAGAA